ATGGGTTGGTGGATTGAAATTCGTATCAAAGTGAAGGGAATATCTTCATCTCTCAGTTTAAAAAAATCAATTTTTTTAAGCACTTGCGGTTTCGGATAAACATCCTTAACTGATTCGTCAATGAAGAAATCCCCAGGAATTCAATGCAACTTTGTCGTTGCTAAAAATTTCAAGCGTTTTCACTTGAAATGTCAACGATTTAATTTTTAATTAAAAAAACACGCAGGCCGATGGGAATAATGAACACTCACAATCAGCTGATTGGCTAATTGTACTCCCTGAAGTGCAATTGAACAGCCACAATAGGATAACCGTGACAATTCGATAATATCCCCGCAGTACGCGTGATTAAATAAAAAATATAATAATAAAAGATTGATTGTAACAAAGTGGTGGCAATAAAATTTTACGATTGTGGCCGCCTCCTTATCGTTTGTACAGTTCTTAACGTTTAGGTTAGTATCACCGCCGGACAGTGGTATAATGACCCAATTATGTCATTTACACGTTGACTCACAACGGTCAATTTGTTCATGTCCGGTACTCCACACCAACTTCTAATAAAGCATCGACATTGCCGTGTATTATCCATGTACATATGAGCCGCCGATTACGTTCTTTATGCCTATTAGTATTTGTCAACAGCGCACGGAACAACAATTTCAATAAGTAAAAGTTGTTCGAAGCAACATAATGCTTTGCTGCAGGGAGAAAAAAGTTGGAGAAAAATTACGGAAGAAGTCGAGTAATCGTGGAGCGATAGTTATTTTCATCACAAGGTCCACAAAGTATTTTCTGACGAATGTGGCTTTGTAGGCCGTACCGAAGGCGAGGCCTATAATCACATTCGTCAGAAAATACTTTTGGACCGTGTGATGAATGCAATTTTTCGTCAGAAGGCCCGTAAACCGCGATCAAACCGAGCGAAGCGAGATTAGAATCGCGGTTTACCGGGGCTTCTCACGAAAACTTGATTTTCGGACGAGTAGTGAATTTTTTTCTCCGTTGGCCCGGGGAAATTTACAGAAAGTTAGGGTAATCTGTGCCGAAACTGGCAAATTTAACCTGCACGGAGAGAAATATAGTCATAATATCACAAAACTATTTTCTTGCACGCATGAAAAAATTCAATGAAAAACCTAGCGAATTCGCTAGAAAATTCTATTGGAATTCTAGAGGATTTCTATAGGATTTCTATTAGAATTCTGTTGGAAAATTCTATTTGTTTTTTGCGCTCATTCTGTTGGATATTCGATAAAAAAAGTTAATAGATTTCGAATTTCTGTTTGAAATTTTCTCTGGAGATTTTTTCTGTAAGAATGCTTGGGCATCAATTTTCTAAGTCTTTTCCACTCGCATTCTGTAATGCAAAACAAAACAAAATCCAGCGGAAAAAACTGGAAAAATTTGTGCCCAATAATTTCTAATAGAAAAAATTTCAAGAGACAAATTCGAACAGAAATTCGAATTCTATTGACTTTGTCTTATTGAATATCTAATAGAATCAGTGTAAAAAATAAATAGAATTTTTCAATAGAATTACAATAGAAATCCTATAGAAATCCCGTAGACTTCCTATAGAATTTTCTAGCGGATTCGCTAGGTTTTCTATTGAATTTTCAATATCTCTTGGGGATAAATTTCTTGAGATAAGGATTATGGATAAAGTGTCAGACAATGTGACATTTCGATGAAGTGTTCATCACTTAAACATGAACAATTCATCATAGAGTGAGAATTTCTTGCCACAAGAAATCTTTTTTTTTAGTGCCAGAAGATGAGAAAATGACTAAAAATTTTTAAAGCCTCGATAAATTGATCAATAAATTGATCAAATATGTATGCGATGTTTTTCGCTCAAAAAACGATTTTTGTCACTCCATCAAAAATTATCTCACTGAACGTGAATGATTTCTTGCACCCATGACCTTCAGATGGGCGCAAGAAGAATATAATTTTTGAGCACAACTAATTTTTTTCTCAATTGACTTCACCAAATCCTTAAATCACATATTTTAAAAACTAGAATTGTCATCCTGCACAATATACAAATTATAATTACCCTATCAAGCATTAAAAAACGCATGAATTTCCAGGCATTGATTTTGTAATTTGCAACAAGTAACTGGCAAATATCTGCGGCTATTTGTGGTCTGGGCGCCGTTCTCCCAGCGTCACTTGTAGAGATCTACGTTAGACACACTCATGCATAATCGTTGCAGATATAAATCGAGAGAGAGACGGCTTTTCTCCTCCATTCATCGACGCAGTCAGTCGGCCTTTGAAGGTTGTTCGGTGGAATAAAAAATAATAATAGTAATAAAAACGAGAGACAAGCACTTGCACAAGGGTCTCGCTCGTAGAATGTGGCGAATGCGTTGGGAGAGAGAGAGGTTCGCCATTCTTCATTCCGATATGAATTCTCTCCTCGCGTTATAGCAGAATATGTACGAAAAAATTTCATAGATAAACCCAGCGAATTAACTACAAAAATTCTATTGGATTTCTATCAAACTTGCTAGTAGTTTTTGTTCGATTCTATTGAAAATTCTACAGTTCTCTTATCTGTCGAGTTTTCCTTCAATAGAAATGTTTAATAGAAAATATTCTACAGGAAAAATCAATAGAATTTAATTTTTCTATAGTTATACTAGATCTTAACTAATTTAAAGCAGAGTTAAAATGAAGGATAACAGGAAAATGATCATAGAAGAATCTTATATAACTGATCTTAACTAATTATTAAGGAGAGGACTTCATAGGTGTAAAGCAAAGAAAAACATTTGTAACACCAAAAAGATGAAGAAATAAATAAAATAAAATAATTTTTCTGTACAACTTATTCCACTGCGCTAATTTCTATAAAAATTACATACAGTTTTTTATAATTTGCATTTTCTGCAGAAATTATTAAAATATAAAGATTATCCCGAATTCCCCAAGTTTTTTGCTAATTTTTTTCAGTGAAAAATTAATAAAAATGCAGTGGAAAAAACTGATAAAATTCCCGTAGTTTCAATAAAATAGTTTCTATTGTCCATTTTTTTTCAATCGCAATAAAGCTGTGAAATTCTTCAATGCAATGGGACGAAAACTACCAGAATTTTCAATAAAACTTTAATAAAAATCCAATGGATTTTTTGTCTGCAATTTTTTCATGCCTAAAGTCAAATTAATTCCGGGAATAATATTATCCGATGTTCCTGACTTTGCATAATGAATAGCTGAGGTATGAGCGAGAAATTGAAGATAGGCAAGTCCTAGAATTTCGTCAAGCCAACGATAAAGAGGCACTATGCAAAGAGCTGGGTGTCAGTGACCGCTTGCACGCCGGCATGAACCGCGTACGGGAGCCCAGTCATATTCTCTCTCTTGCACTTGGAGTTGCAAATCGCAGGTGACTTTCACTTCGGGCGCATGAGAAGACGGCGTGCAGTGCCGATCGAATGATTCATTCAGTTTAACCTGGAAAGCCAAGCATCTGGTAACGAGGAAAACCTCTCACGCTCAGCATAATATCTTTCTGGCGATTATGAATGCGGAACTCGTCTGCGAATCGCGCCAGCAACCGCATATTCGTCAGAAAAGTACTTTATGAAACTAGGCCCTATAAACCGCGATCTAACCGAGCAGCAGCGGTATAGGGCAGCGGTTTTTGGGTCCATTGACGTAAAATATTGATACGGAAATCTAATGGGTTCATTTGTCCTCCCCTCTTTTGTAAAATAATAAAAAGAGATAAATGTTCTTTTGTTGCTAGAGTCTGACTTGAAGAGTGATAAAATTTATTTTATTTATTCATCTCTTTGATGTTACAAATGTCTTTCTTTGTTTTACATCTATGTAGTCCTTCTCCTCCCCTTAATAATTAGTTAACATCAGTTATATATAATTTCTTCTATGTTCATTTTCCAGTTATCCTTTATTTTAACTCAGCTTTAAATTAGTTAAGATCTAGTAGAATGATAATACTTTTGTTTCATTAGTTAATTTGAAGAACTGTCAGTCAAACCGTCCCTTTAATTAATCCACGGATTCGCGATTGAACGTAGATGTGGAAAATAATGGCGACTTTTTCTACGATTGCGGGGGTTGAAAAACTACCTCTCAAATTTTTTCAGATGTTTTCGGCAGCCCAGTTGGGAGATGTGATTTTTTTTTTACATTTTTCCGTTTGTTTCTAATAACTCGAGATCTATTTGTTCGATTTTGATTTATTAAGCGTCAAAATTTTTCATTTTTACCGCCTATACGAGTATTTCCAGTAAATATTCATTTTCGATTGCTAAATGCTCATAATAACGAATTTTCGAAAAAAGTTGAATTTTCCAAATTATGTCATTTTTTATTTGTTTTATTTTTCTCAGTAATTCTTATAATCAAAACAAGCATTTTGAGCCGCCACACAAATTGTGGATCCTCCTGAATCTATTTCATTTTCAATTTTTTCTGTTCGAAATTCCGCGAATTTGGTCAAAACACCCCAAAATGGCATTGATTGACTCGATTATAGACAGTATCAAGTGAATTTGACTTACACCTCCATATTACATATTTTTTCGATACATAATCGCACTCGTTTTGGGGTGTTTTGACCAAATTTCGCCCAAATTTCACCCAAACGAACAAAATGAAAAAAAAATGACGATTCCATAGCCCCCATTCGCCAGCAAAAAGGAAGAAATAAACTCCCTGTACATAAAACAATCGAGGAAGCAATTGGCAAGGAATGATTCAGACTTGAATGAAACATAGCTGTGGGCTATGTTGCAATGCCTCTTGTTTGAAAAAGTCCATCAGCGAATTGCGGCGAATAGTACGAGAAAAATCGCGGGACGGAGTGGGTTCGCCGGACTGGAGGGGATAAAACTTGAATGATCCATAGAGTAAAGTACACGAGAGTATCGGGAGTGGGGATGGAAGATGTGGTGCTGGCAGCGCCGGGTCCCCTCGACGGTGGGAAACATCGGGCGTTGGGGGGGCAAGTGAGGGGACTGGCGCGTTCAGAAATGGCCGCGGGAAAGTAACGAGCGGCGAGTGGTGCGGTTTTATCGGCACAGATTTGTCGGTTCAATATTTCAAACTTTATTCCCCTCGTCCTCTATTTATTTATTTATTTATTCTCTTGCCAATGCAAGGGGATTCTGTGATTTTGTCGTAACATTTGTGATGTGCCATAATCAGGCGAAGAGCAATGAAATTCGTCTGGCAACGGTAATGTGAATCGTGCAGTGGGCACTCATTGACAGATTTCTTATTGTTGTGAGGGAGAGAGAGCGACAAAGGGAGGAATTTCATTCACTAGCCGCTTGGACTGAATTTTTAGGTAGTTATTCGGATTTATCGGACTGTCGGTTGGGATTATCGGGGGTGAATATGGCCGGTGACAGCGCGAAGAACAATGATATTGGTGGGGGGGATGAGCAGGGTGCGTCAGCAAGGGGAGAACCGCATTCCAGAGTGGGCGGCATTCTGGAATGCGATCCACACGGTAACAGGAATTCACTTCACAGTGAACAAACTACCGAGATCACTGACGGCGTATGTCGCTATGGTACTCATTCTGATGCTGGCGCGATGTCTTTCATTGAAATTTGCCAGGTAATTTGGTTTTTTCATTTGGTCGTTGTGGTAATCCGAGGGGGTTTCGTGTTACGGACGAGTGGACAATTGCATTTTTTTTATAAATAATGGAGTTATTGATGCTGATAAATTAGGAATTTGTTTAAGAATGGGTTCTCTTTTTTTATTCTTGTTTCAGTATTTTTTTCTTCTATTTTTTCATGTTTTAGTAGTATCGTCAAGTGAAATGCCATCAAAATTTCGCGGATTATTTCGCTCTGGGAAATGATTCTACATTCAGACCCTCTCAAGACTCGAATTCGTTTTCAGGCCGGGTTTAATCAAGGTTCAGTCAAGGTTTAATCAGTGTGTAGTCGGGATTTAATTCAGTATTGTTTCAGTATTTTTTTCTTCTATTTTTTCATGTTTTAGTAGTATCGTCAAGTGAAATGCCATCAAAATTTCGCGGATTATTTCGCTCTGGGAAATGATTCTACATTCAGACCCTCTCAAGACTCGAATTCGTTTTCAGGCCGGGTTTAATCAAGGTTCAGTCAAGGTTTAATCAGTGTGTAGTCGGGATTTAATTCAGTATTGTTTCAGTATTTTTTTCTTCTATTTTTTCATGTTTTAGTAGTATCGTCAAGTGAAATGCCATCAAAATTTCGCGGATTATTTCGCTCTGGGAAATGATTCTACATTCAGACCCTCTCAAGACTCGAATTCGTTTTCAGGCCGGGTTTAATCAAGGTTCAGTCAAGGTTTAATCAGTGTGTAGTCGGGATTTAATTCAGTATTGTTTCAGTATTTTTTTCTTCTATTTTTTCATGTTTTAGTAGTATCGTCAAGTGAAATGCCATCAAAATTTCGCGGATTATTTCGCTCTGGGAAATGATTCTACATTCAGACCCTCTCAAGACTCGAATTCGTTTTCAGGCCGGGTTTAATCAAGGTTCAGTCAAGGTTTAATCAGTGTGTAGTCGGGATTTAATTAGAGTTTATTCAGGGTTTAGCCAGAGTTTAAGCCAAGTTCTGTCAGAAGTTAGTCGGGACCATGAATCAATATGAAGAAGTATTCAACATAATAGACTGGTACCTGAGTTTAATAGAGATCGAGATTTTGATATAAAGAGCTGATGACAGTATTGTGTAACTTGATAAGCAATGATGCTGTTCTCACCATTTTTCAACTTGATTAAGAAGGCATTGGAATATACTTTTCTATCAGTAATCATGAAAAAGCCGATTTTCTCTTTCAAATCGTATAAACAATGCGCTGTAACTCAACAACAAATGCTGCGACCCCCATCCTATTCTGATAGAATCAAGAGGGTATTGTTATCAATTTTTTGAACCATGACTCACTCCAGTTTGACGACAATTTTTTGAGTGATAGTTGAAAAATCGGATTTGGAAAAATTGAATTTTTATTGGTGTCAATGAATAGAGTTTATTAAAGTCTATATTCTTGAAAAAAAACGTGATTTTTCATTGATCCCTTAGAAGAAAATTTCGAAAAAAAAATGAAGAAAAAAAACCACATGTATACATAACTACAGAGACCGTCTAAAAATCGCATATTCGCACTTTTCAGACCATATTTAGTTACCCTGGCCCAAAAAATTGTAAACTTAAATTTAGGCGATTACAAAGCTTCCATGGAAAAGTCGAAGAGAACTGTAAATTTAAGCGATTAAGTTTTATTTCAGTAAAATTATAATACATTTACCGGAATTTTCCTGATTTTTATAATTCTCACGGCACAATTGAACTGAAATTGACTAATTCAATTGATTTGATCAACAATTCAATTCATTTGATTTGATTTCATCAAATAATGAATTTTCAATTACGAAATTCCGCTGAAACTCTTATAATTTAAAAGTTTACGCCAAGAATATAAAAATTTGCGTCATTCATGTAAAATGAGCTAAAAAATTATCCTTATAATATTTAAAATATATTCTCGATTCTTTCACAAACATTTTTTGGGCTATTTTACATGAATGGTGAAATTTTTTATTTAAAAAAAAAACAATATTAGCTGTGTCGGAGTCGAATTCCCAAAAACTAATTCGTAATTATTATTGTCCACATTTTTTCAAAAATTTTGAAAAAAAAACCTCTAGTTAAAAAATCGGAGACCCTGGACTATTCTTCATTTTTTAACGTCTGCGGGGTCAACGAACAATAACCAATAAATTTTCTGCGCTAATTGTTCATTTTTAAATATATATAATCGATCTTGAATCTATGAGACATCTCATTCAAAAACCCCGCGACTTTTAAAACTGATAGTGGTCCCCCCTTAATAGGTAACAGAATGCCGCTAATTTTCAAAACTTTTGATCAAAATTTCCTGCTGAAAGTTATCGATATTTTTACAAATCAAAGCACATTAATGTCCAGAAAGCGATGATAAAGATCAATGTGCTTTAGGTTAAAAAAATATTAGTAACTTTGAGCAGGAAATTTGTTTGAAAATTTCGAGGAAACGGTGGTCTTCTATTACCCTTTAACAGTACATTTTTCTACAGCTTGAAAAATTCAAAATCCTCCGCGAGCAACTGATTCTCCTCCAACACCCCACGATCTCCAACCCGACTTTCATTCTTCCAATACCGTAATTTCAGACCCGAATGCAAAACTTATTCCCCCAACTGGCACCACCTTCACCCTACGCCAGCTGCGACGACTCAGTGGAGCTGACAGCCGAATGCCTCGCGAAGGACGTCATAAGATACCTCTTAAAAGAAGACATGTATTTAATATCGAGGGACCCAATATCGCGCAGCATGCGTCACAACGTGTACCAGATGCTGAATAAACACAGCATCCTGTTCACGAGCATGGTCAATCGGCTCAATGTCGTACCTGATACTGCGTACGAAGCGTTCACCGGCGTTGCCGACGAGCTCTTCCTCCACGGGGGCATAACGTGGGCCAGAATAGTGTGCCTGTACGCATTCATGGGACGACTTGCGCTATGGGCGAAGGACGGGAGGATGCATGAATTGAGGAAGAAATTACCATTATACGTGTCGAGGTATATCGGGGAAGAAATCGCGCATTTTATCAAGGGATACGGAGGCTGGGTGAGTTTCCAAAAAAATCTTCAACATTTTGTCTAGACTAGGAGACTCAGGGGATTCTCAAAGAGACGACATGCATGAAAAAATTCAATAGAAAACGTAGCGAATTCGCCAGAAATTTGGAAAATTGGAATTCTATACACTGAGAGATAAACGACAAAGTTCTCAAACAAGTCTTACTTGTGCCAAGAAAATAGTTTTTTGAAAATGATCGCAAAAGGATTGAATGAAAAATTTTCGTCGCGAAAATAGATTTAGTAGTTCAAAAAAAATTGCATTCTCTGTACATGCAAGAAATGTCATTTCTAGCACTACTCATTCGTTATTCGATACTCATACGTATTTTGCTCACGAAAACCTTTGTTTTATGCGGAACAAGGGATAGTAGTTTTTCGTTTCGGCTGTCTAATAATCACAGACAAGAAATGAACCCTNATTTTTTAACGTCTGCGGGGTCAACGAACAATAACCAATAAATTTTCTGCGCTAATTGTTCATTTTTAAATATATATAATCGATCTTGAATCTATGAGACATCTCATTCAAAAACCCCGCGACTTTTAAAACTGATAGTGGTCCCCCCTTAATAGGTAACAGAATGCCGCTAATTTTCAAAACTTTTGATCAAAATTTCCTGCTGAAAGTTATCGATATTTTTACAAATCAAAGCACATTAATGTCCAGAAAGCGATGATAAAGATCAATGTGCTTTAGGTTAAAAAAATATTAGTAACTTTGAGCAGGAAATTTGTTTGAAAATTTCGAGGAAACGGTGGTCTTCTATTACCCTTTAACAGTACATTTTTCTACAGCTTGAAAAATTCAAAATCCTCCGCGAGCAACTGATTCTCCTCCAACACCCCACGATCTCCAACCCGACTTTCATTCTTCCAATACCGTAATTTCAGACCCGAATGCAAAACTTATTCCCCCAACTGGCACCACCTTCACCCTACGCCAGCTGCGACGACTCAGTGGAGCTGACAGCCGAATGCCTCGCGAAGGACGTCATAAGATACCTCTTAAAAGAAGACATGTATTTAATATCGAGGGACCCAATATCGCGCAGCATGCGTCACAACGTGTACCAGATGCTGAATAAACACAGCATCCTGTTCACGAGCATGGTCAATCGGCTCAATGTCGTACCTGATACTGCGTACGAAGCGTTCACCGGCGTTGCCGACGAGCTCTTCCTCCACGGGGGCATAACGTGGGCCAGAATAGTGTGCCTGTACGCATTCATGGGACGACTTGCGCTATGGGCGAAGGACGGGAGGATGCATGAATTGAGGAAGAAATTACCATTATACGTGTCGAGGTATATCGGGGAAGAAATCGCGCATTTTATCAAGGGATACGGAGGCTGGGTGAGTTTCCAAAAAAATCTTCAACATTTTGTCTAGACTAGGAGACTCAGGGGATTCTCAAAGAGACGACATGCATGAAAAAATTCAATAGAAAACGTAGCGAATTCGCCAGAAATTTGGAAAATTGGAATTCTATACACTGAGAGATAAACGACAAAGTTCTCAAACAAGTCTTACTTGTGCCAAGAAAATAGTTTTTTGAAAATGATCGCAAAAGGATTGAATGAAAAATTTTCGTCGCGAAAATAGATTTAGTAGTTCAAAAAAAATTGCATTCTCTGTACATGCAAGAAATGTCATTTCTAGCACTACTCATTCGTTATTCGATACTCATACGTATTTTGCTCACGAAAACCTTTGTTTTATGCGGAACAAGGGATAGTAGTTTTTCGTTTCGGCTGTCTAATAATCACAGACAAGAAATGAACCCTTAAATGAAACAATAATAATGACATGATAGCAATTTTCCTCTATATGAGATATTTTCATCCTGAAAAGGCACCGTCTGGTGTAAATTATCCGCCTCTTGAGCCAAATATTTCGTTGCTGTCGAAAGCAGCACAATTATTCATGTTTGAGACTTTCAAATTCGAACTAAACAAATTCTTTTTTGGCAATTTTCAACTAGCAATTTTGTTGTCCCAAACAAGCGTGTTTGTTTTTCTCTCAGTGTAGGAATTCTATTGGAAAATGCAATTTGTTTTTACGCTGATTCTATTAGATATTCGATAAGAAAAAATCAACAGATTTTGAATTTCTGTTAGAATTTTTCTCATGAAATTTTTTCTATTAGAATTATTGGGCCCAAATTTTCCAAGTTTTTTCCGCTGGATTTGGATTAATGAAAAGCGGAAAAAATGGAAAAAACTTGAGAAATTCATGTCGAGGAATTTCTATAAAAAATGTCTCAATACCAAAAACTGTATGGAAAAATTAAATTCTACTGATTTTTGTGTAAAATAAGTTCTGCTGGACATTCTCCATAAAAAATACGTAGTAAAGCTTCGAAATAGTCCAAAAGAATCGGCCAAAAAGTAATAAAATTCTCATTAGAAATTCCAAAAAAAATTCTACCGAAATGCGCTGAGTCTTTCTACGAAATTTTTTTGTGCCTGATAATATTCATAATCCTTCTTGCATCACTTTTCAGGAACAATTGTGCATAGAATATCCCATAGCCGAGGAGGTTTCTGGTGCTATATGGAGAAGTCTCCTAATGACTGGCGCAACGTTAAGTCTCGTTGCAACAATATTAGCTGTGACCTCTTGAGGAAATTTGTAAGAAAAATTTTCTACCTATCCCAACAATTTTTCAAACGAAGAAATCACGTACTTATTAATCCTGTGATCGTACTACACTTGAAAAATAACAACAATGTATAAAAATCACGTGCAGGAAGAAAATTCTCCCCTCCATTGGTACTCGAAAACTCTCGAAGAATTTTTTCACAAGATTAGAGTATTCTCTTCATCTACACAAGAAATGAAGAGAAGAATTAAAAATACGAAAAATATTTTCGTCCAAATGAGTACAATTAAACAAAGTTTATGTATCCATTTACCTAATACTCAAAGAAACAATGATAAATTTTTATATCCACGCCAAATGATAATTTCAAAATTTCCCAATGAATTTAGGTAGCATCTCAAATTGTTTGTATTTATTTTATAATTTATTCTAGGTAGAAAGCTATGAATTAATTATTTTTTTATATTCAACAATACGCTTCACTCCGAGCATAGCAACAAATTTGATTGAAATAAATTAACAAATTCGATCACTACGACGTGTTTACAATAATTCTAAACTAGAAACTTATACATGATTTTTCAAATAAACTAAAAAAAAACGTAAAAGTTGTGTAACGAATGTGTGAAGAAAATAAAACTCGGGAAAATTAGTACGAAAGTGTGCGATATAATTCAATTTATTTCGATAAACAATTCCCAGTCAAACGATGGTTTTTCGAATTTTCAACACATCACATTACCCTAAATTTTTATAATCTCTAATTAGAAATTCGACAATAAAATCCGTCAAATCTACTACTTGATATACATTTTACAAGCGTTATTACATAGCAAATGATGAAAACAAGGTGGTATACTTCTCTTCATGTTCATACATACTCGTCCCTTGGATATCCTCATTATTTTATTCCCCACCTTGGTATTTTTCCTCATTTCCATAACCGATTGCTTCCTATTAGAAATATGTACATATTCGGCTGATTCATCAAACGCTCTCCATCACCCTTCCATTCGCCTTAACATTAATGTACGGAGTAAACGGCTGAAAATAGATCGAGACGGTTTTTCGAATTGAAATAAAAAACTTGGATTTTTATTATTCTTCTAATTTTTACGATTCTTCCACGATCTGTCTTTTTACATTCGAGAGTTGTTGCTTTGTCGTGAATTGTTGGGATGATACCCCTTCGAGACTGCCATCGATACAGATTAGTAAACGAAACAAAAAGAAACCTTGCCTATCAACTATTCCCATTCCGCGCTATTTCAAAAATAGTGCAGTTGCTCACATCTGAAATGGCGCAGGAATTTGAGTAATAGTTCACAACACGCGTTTTTCCACAGCAAAATATGAAAACAAGGTGTTATAATCCTTTTCATAGCAGTAAGTCTTGTACATGTCCCTCATCCCTTGAATATCATTATTTTATTCCCCACCTAGTGATTTTTTCCTCATTTCCAAACCGATCGTTTCCTATTCGAAATATTTACATATTCGGCTGATTCATCAAACGCTCTCCATCACCCTTCCATTCACCTTAACATTAATGTACGGAGTGTATGGTTGAAAATAGATCGAGACGGTTTTTCGAATTGAAATAAAAAACTTGGATTTTTATTATTCTTCTAATTTTTACGATTCTTCCACGATCTGTTTTTTTACATTCGAGAGTTGTTGCTTTGTCGTGAATTGTGGGGATGATACCCCTTCGAGACTGCCATCGATACAGATTAGTAAACGAAACAAAAAGAAACCTTGCCTATCAACTATTCCCATTCTGCGCTATTTCAAACATGATGCAGAGATTTGCGTAACAGTTCATCACAATAAAATAACAACTATCAACAATTCTTCGATACCTGAACTAAAAAAAATACAAATTACAAATTTTGCTGTATTTGTTACAATTATCTCATGTTCACCATATTTATTTTTATTACTTGCATAATGTTTTTCCATATGTATACACATACTTCATTAAATAATTGCGATCATATATCTATTTAAACTGTACAAACGGAATTCGGTCCTGTTTTTCTCGCAGGTGTGACGAATATCCACTACATCATGTTGGGGGGAAAAATTGGTGCCTAAACTCGACGAAAATTTTGAGCAAATATTACTGCTGTTAACGTTCCTTCTATTCTGTTCTTTCCAACTGCGGGATGAACTTAAAATTCACAGGCTTATTGAACACCATTATTATTTCTCTTCAATGATGAAAATTGATTGATGCTTAACTTGTCAATTTAACAGCATTAATCTACACTCTACTCGAACATTCGGCAATTGTCGATTACAATTACAACGAAGACAGCATTCACCTATGGAAATTGACCTCTGAAAACTATTCAGCAACAATGACTTGGTCCTTAAGAGGCAAAAATCAGTGAAGAATTTTCATTTTTTCTTTTTCAAACATTTATTTATTACTCTTGAAAATATCATGGCAGTTGTAGCCTGGACGTGTCTCTTGACCGAGAGCAACCGCAAAATATTTAACACTACCATGAAAAAAAAGCAATTCACTATATTTTGCTTGTTCTGTTCGCTAGAGATAACACAATGTCTCTCGCATCTTCCATTCTCCACATCTGATCAACCACTTTATTTTCTCCATTATCAACTAAAAAATCAATTTTTAAAAACAAACAGTTTAGTTATGCCTAAAGCTTTCCATCGCCATTCTCTCCAATTATTTTCCATTTTTGGTTTATCATTTTTTACTAGAAGAAAATTCAAGATCCATCGACAGACATCTATTGAAAATTGTGTTCTCTTCACTTTCACATAAAAAAAACAAAATTACTCATTTCGTAATAGTAAGTTATTCATTTTCTTTCATCAAAATCACATTTATACCAGTTTTTATAAATTTTAAGTATCTCGAACCGCCATCGTGCAATGAAAACACTAATACCTTAGACTCGAGAGCTCCACAAAAACGCAAACAAAAAGAAAACAGGGCAAAATTTAGCTAATTTTGAATTCATTTCAGGTCAAAGTTTGAGGAAAAATTTTGAATCGATGACCACAGGATTTTTCTTTATTCCTGTCTCTCATCACAAATCCGTTATATATACTTTTTGTTTGAATTTTCATTTATTTATTTATTTTTTGACGAGTTATCACAGTTGAGGCGGTCACGGGAGGGCTAGAGAGTGAGGGGCAGACCATTGCATCCCTGATACGAGGAGAATTCCGTCCGTGTTTGGCTATTTTTATTCAGTGTAGTCCCACCATTCTTTCTCGTAGCCCTCGTGCACGTGCTCGAGTAATACCTTCCTTCGATTGTCGCAATATCTTTGAGAGAATCAAAATGAAAGAATGGAAATTAGTAATTGAAAAATGAGAGGGGTAGAACGTCTTCAATCGTCGATAGCTCAAGAACGGTAGAGTGAATTTTCCCGATTTTTTTTTCATTTTTAAGGTTTTTATTCAAGCTTCAAAATGAGCCGTGACTCAGGCAAATCGTATCGTTGGGTCGGGAGATATTGTCGATTGAAGAGGGTTCGGTTTTCCTCTCTCGTTTTATTCTTCACTGGAATTACCTGTATTTATCCTGGACCTTTTGCTTGATGTCAGCAAGATTTTCACTGGTGATGTTCCTCTCGAGATACTCAGACAGAAATTCAGTTGCACCTTCAAGATCCTTCTGATTATCCTCGAAGATCACAGATTGATTATTTTTCCTCAGGTAATAAGCAAAAACGTATGTATACGTTAGAGTCTGTCTACATAAACACAAGATGTCAACTGCCTTCTTCAGGAACTGGACCTGCACAATTCCCCAAATTTGATATTCAGAAAACATGAAGAATAAACAGGAGCGAAAAAATTCCGTAGAGAAATTGCTCGGTTCAATTTTTTTCAAGTTTTTTGTTTGAATTTTTTAATGAAAAGCGAAGAAAAATACTGGAAATAAAGTAGAAAATTCATGCCGAGGAATTTCTACAGAAAATGTCTCAATAGAAAAAATTGTATAGAAGAATGAAATTCTTCTCATAAAATCCTTTCTATTGAACATTTTTCATTAAAAAAAACGCGCACTAAAGTTGCAGAATTCTTGAACAGAATGATCCAAAAAATAATACAGATACAATAGAATTTTCTATCGAATTCCTTATATTTTCTACGAAAATTTTTCTCGTCTTGTGATTATTAACTGAATTACTTCAATCCAAGACATATTGTGTTGCTGCATCTCCTCCATTTTCTCCTTGACACTAGCATACAATTTGCTCTCAAACTTGAGTGATTGCAGATGATTCATGTATCTGTTGCAGTAGAACAAGTATCTCTGCAATGCTGATCGTGATTTTTGCTGTGTATCCCTGGCAGCCCTAGCCTCGTCCTCATCGTAACGATTGCAGTTGTACCAGCTAGAGCCATGTGGCTCCCAGGGTCCCAAGCACACCCAACAGAACTCTGTCTTACAATTTTGATTTTTGCAGACCATGTGATTGCAACCACCATCTTTCTCAATCGTCACATTACATTTTGGGCATTCTTTCGTGTTGGCGGCTATCCAATTGGACGTCTCGGAATCGTCGTCACACTTTTTAATCCACTTACGTAGTAAATGACATTTCACTGGATCATGCCAATTTTCACCGCAGTGAAAGCAAAATGTGTGGCCACACTTACACGTCACTGGCTTTGCCTCGACGTACTGTACTTTTATAGCGCTGTTGCAGTCCGGGGATGGACACCACCTCAATAACCTGTTACACTGGGAATTTTCGATGGAAAATTCAATAAAATTCAACGGACAACGTGAGAATAAACGACCTACTTAGGTTGTAATTAATTAATAATGAGGTTCGTCATTAAAATTGACAATTTGGTGAAAACATTAATGGAAAACATTAATGGAAACTAAATTGAAGTTGAATTCTTCCATGAAAATTGAGTGTAAATGGATTAATAAATTTTTAAACAGAATTTTAGAGCAATTGTTTAATGAATATTTACGTATTGATTGAAAATTCTCCTTTTTTGTTGCTCAAAAGATAGAAATTCCATTGAATTTTCATTAAAATTGGGAATTTCATGATTTTTTCCTCCTAAACTGTCTATTAAATTTGAGTTTTTTCAATAATGTGTCAGGTATGACAAAACTTAGTATTTAAATAGACTCATACCTCAACAAAACTGTTCGTAATGAGATGTTGATATTTAAGCTTGACTTTGGAGTCCTTAACCAAACGCATTACACTTGCATCATCAACGAGAATGTCGCATGCATGGGCTGCACATGCTATTGTCTGACCAACGCCCTCCTCCATGATTTTAGTAGTTAGATATTCTCCCCAGCAGCCAGCACAGAAGCGATGACCGCACTCCAACCCCGTCATCATCTAGAAATGTTCATAATGTTGTGAATGAAATGAATGAACTGCACGCAGAGACGTTTTTAGCAAAAAATGTCCCATGGAATCTGATAATGTAATGGTATTCGATTCTCTTTTGTTTGTTAGGCGGGCTTCATGAAAATTCGACGCAAGACGATTGCACTCATGAAATCCGCCTTATTTCTCCATTCGTTCGAGATATTGCCCATGCTGTTTCAGAAAGAATATAATTATAACCCAAATTTTGAAGATCAAAATATGAAATGAATTCTCAACAGTTTATTGTTTAAAAAAATAATTGAAGAAATAATTTCATGGATTGATTTTTCACATTCATCAAACTTTGAATTCATATAAAAAAATTATCAATGATGGATAATATTTTTAATAAAAAATAATTAATAATTAATCATTTAAAAAAACATCAATGACGGCATTTCAAATTTATTTTCCCCTCATCACACGCGACGACAACGGGGCGGTAAAGTAGTATGACTTGAATTAGTTCATACTACTGTGAAATATTTATCAAATACATACGGAAGACGGTAATGTTGTGAAACAGATGCCGCACTCCTCAGTACCATTTGTAGATGTCTTCCTCGACTGAAAGCCAATAAATAAAAATCAACATTCAGGTCTGTATATTGATTACTCAATGATAAAATCTGCTTACCAATGAGCTTTGAGCAGAACGTGACCTACTAATGAGTGGACCTTTCCGAAACGGATTGACCACTCTAGCTTCAGCGAACAATTTATCCTGATCCCCATCGTAAAATCTCTCCATGAGCTTCTCCTTGTCCCACTTGAAGTGATTCAATAATATTCTAGTTGTCGTTGCTGGTATCTACGTGGGTGAATCGATTATAACATATGTAAGTAGATTTTTAATTTGAACCCTCAAACTGCGAATTCCATCCTATTACTAATTCTCAATTTAGCGATTTTATAAATAATTTCAATTATTTTTGTGTAAACAACGAATGTTTAAAAAATAATAATTCTGTGCAAAATGTCATTTGAATAACGCTGAATATTCATGATTTTTTTTAATTTTTCTCACGCAATTTAATTGACAAATTTGATGATTGAAAATGGTTGAATTTATTATGTGGTCTGTTTCAAACTGTAAAAGATATTTTGATATCCTCAAGGTTGCCTGTTAAAATACCAGACAGATTGAACACATGGATTTTCAACACTTGACAATTTAACATGTACAAATTTAACAATTGTGTAGTTGCGTGTGTGTTTGAAGTTTTGTGTCACCTGAATAATCCCTAATTGTGATAATAATTGAGGGATTAGTAACGGGATTAGTAACGCCTTATTATTCTGTTGATATGATTTTGTTGTGATTAGTTTAACTGTAATTTGATATCAATTTATTGAATTTATCGATTTACCGATTCGTCCCCATTTATTGATGTAATTAACTGTATTGTTGTTCATATTCTTTCGATTTTTCATTAAACGAATTCTCATGCCAAAAGTAAATATTTATTGATTTCGAAGACTGCGTTGATAATTGTGTTGAATTCTTTTGTTAGCATTTACGTCTGTCACTTTGACACGTAATCATTCTTAAGGGTTAAGACATTACAAGAGACATTACGGTTAAGAGAAATTCGAATTTCGGGGTAGGATGTAAAGTACAAGATTGCTATCATATCATTATTATTTTCATTTAAGGGTTCATTTCTTGTCTGCGATTATTAGACAGCCAAACGAAAAACTACTATCCCTTGTTTCGCATAAAACAAATATTTTTCGAGAGCAAAATACGTATGGGAGTATCGAATAACGAAGGAGTAGTGCTAGAAATGACATTTCTTGCGAGTACAGAGAATGCAATTTTTTTTGAACTACTAAATCTATTGTTGCGACAAAAATTTGTCATTCCCTCGCACTCTCTGCATGTTTGGCACAAAAAAATCCTTTTTTGATCATTTTCAAAAAACTCTTTTCTTGGCATAAGTCAGACTTGTTTGAGAACTTTGTCGTTTTTCTCTCAGTGTACATTCGAAAAAGTATTCGTACCGAGTCCATTTGACCCACTCTGCAGTGGGAGAGTTTATTACGAAAAAATGGGCTGTGTACCTCAACAACTGTGTTGACTTCCTTGATGCAATCCACCATGTGTTGAACGATTTCCTCAGTCGTTAAGACCTCGAAAGGATAGTCATCGGCGTCGTTGGTGCGTTCACGCGGATTACCAGTTTCGCACTCCATCGCGAAGTCTACGTCATCGCCGCTGGACTCATTGCCTGAGTCCACCTCATCGTAGAGAGTCTCCTCGTCAGAGTCCATTGTGGTTACCGAATGAGATGTTTTCTGATGCTGATGAAAATATAATTAACTTTGAGAGAATTTTGATTGATCTTTTTTGGGCGTTCATATCATGACTTTAATTCATTTTCGATAATACACGTGTGAAAAAAAAATTAATAGAAATACAAGTCCTTTCTCTGAGAATTTCTGTTGGGATTCTGAAAACAATTGAGGAATTTATGCTCAAGGACTCTTGTAGAAAAATGACAACAGACACAAATGAATAGGAAGTGACTTTTTAGAAAAATATATGTAAAAAATCAAGATGAAATTTTTTATTTTTAATGGAAATCTGTACAAAAAATGGCGAAAATTTCTTGAAAAATTCCAGTCAATTCTCGTTTTTCTATCAAATTTTTATAATTCATTCTCACTGATAATGAATTATAAAAAAACCCAGTGATTTTTCTTAGAAATTCTAATTAGATTTTTACTATAATATAATTGAACATTAATTTCATTAGTTCTTCACTGAATTCTGTTGTAAGAAAGAAAATACAACTGCAAAAATGGGGAAATTCATGCCCAAGGGTTTTTAACATAAAAAATGACTACAAAATAGATAGTTTAAAATGTCGACATCAATGCTGTTATCTTTCGAGTGCTCAACAATGAAAAATTGTATTTCTATTGTAAAAGGTGTAGTGGCATATAAAAGGAAAATAAATCAATCATTCATTCATCGACATCAATGAACGTTTTTCTAAAAGAAAGATCTATCAAAAAATCGAAGGGCAAAGTTGCATAATTATCTAGAGAAATCAGTACAAAATATAGAAATTCCACCAGAATTCCTCGAAGAAATTCCTCAAAACTATTGTTCTTTCATCAAATTATTTACATTTAAATATCAGTGATGAATTAAAAATGAACATGAACTGATCTCGAGGCTAAGGAAGATGGCCGTTGAGATACTGCTAAATTGATGTTTTTCTATCAATTTTTCAAAATGGATTTTTCATAATACTCCCATAAAAAAATACGAAAAAAAAAATTAAAAAACCAACGCCTTCTCTAACAAATTTTAATTGGATTCGTTCTATAATAATGAAGCTTTAATCCCATTAGTTTTTCGCTGGATTCAGTGATGAGAAAAAAAACCAACTGAAAAAATGGGAAACAACATCCCCAAAAATGTTCACAACAAAATTACTGCAGAATAAATATTTTAAAATATCAACATCAATCAAAATTGCAGAAAAACCGAATATTAAAGTTGCCTAATTTTCCACAGAAATCAGTGCAAAAAACAGCTGTAAATTCCCGCAGAATTCCTCGAAGAAATTCCACAAAACTATTGTTCTTTCATCAAATAATTAACTACATTTAAATATAACTGAATGAATCAAACATGAGCATGCACTGATTTCGAGGCTAAGGAAGATGGCCCTTGAGATACTGCTAAATTGATGTTTTTCTATTAAATTTTCAAAATGGATTTTTCATAATACTCCCAAAAAAAAAACGAAAATTTGTTTTTAAAAACCAACGCTTTCTCTAACAAATTTTAATTGGATTTGTTCTATAATAATGAAGCTTTAATCCCATTAGTTTTTCTCTGGATTCAGTGATGAGAAAAAAAATCCAACTGAAGAAATGGGACACATCATCCCCAAAAGTGTTCACAACAAAATTACTGCAGAATAGTTTAAAATATCAATATCAATTAAAATTGCAGAAAAACCGAATATTAACGTTGCCTAATTTTCCACAGAAATCAGTGCAAAAAACAGCTGTAAATTCCCGCAGAATTCCTCGAAGAATTCCCCAAAACTTGTTCTTTCATCAAATAATTAACTACATTTAAATATGATGAATTAAACATGAACATGAACTTATTTGGAGGCTAAGGAAGATGGCCCTTGAGATACTGCTAAATTGCTGTTTTTCTATCAAATTTTCAAAATGGATTTTTCATAATACTCCCAAAAAAAAAATACGAAAATTTTTTTTAAAAAACCAACGCTTTCTCTAACAAATTTTAATTGGATTTGTTCTATAATAATGAAGCTTTAATCCCATTAGTTTTTCCCTGGATTCAGTGATGAGAAAAAAAATCCAACTGAAGAAATGGGACACATCATCCCCAAAAGTGTTCACAACAAAATTACTGCAGAATAAATATTTTAAAATATCAACATCAATCAAAATTGCAGAAAAACCGAATATTAAANCTATAATAATGAAGCTTTAATCCCATTAGTTTTTCTCTGGATTCAGTGATGAGAAAAAAAATCCAACTGAAGAAATGGGACACATCATCCCCAAAAGTGTTCACAACAAAATTACTGCAGAATAGTTTAAAATATCAATATCAATTAAAATTGCAGAAAAACCGAATATTAACGTTGCCTAATTTTCCACAGAAATCAGTGCAAAAAACAGCTGTAAATTCCCGCAGAATTCCTCGAAGAATTCCCCAAAACTTGTTCTTTCATCAAATAATCAACTACATTTAAATATAACTGATGAATTAAACATGAACATGAACTGATTTCGAGGCTAAGGAAGATGGCCCTTGAGATACTGCTAAATTGATGTTTTTCTATCAAATTTTCAAAATGTATTTTTCATAATACTCCCAAAAAAAAATACGAAAATTTGTTTTTAAAAACCAACGCTTTCTCTAACAGATTTTAATTGGATTTGTTCTACAATAATGAAGCTTTAATCCCATTAGTTTTTCCCTGGATTCAGTGATGAGAAAAAAAATCCAACTGAAGAAATGGGACACATCATCCCCAAAAGTGTTCACAACAAAATTACTGCAGAATAAATAGTTTAAAATATCAATATCAATTAAAATTGCAGAAAAACCGAATATTAACGTTGCCTAATTTTCCACAGAAATCAGTGCAAAAAACAGCTGTAAATTCCCGCAGAATTCCTCGAAGAATTCCCCAAAACTTGTTCTTTCATCAAATAATTAACTACATTTAAATATAACTGATGAATTAAACATGAACATGAACTGATTTCGAGGCTAAGGAAGATGGCCCTTGAGATACTGCTAAATTGATGTTTTTCTATCAAATTTTCAAAATGTATTTTTCATAATACTCCCAAAAAAAAATACGAAAATTTGTTTTTAAAAACCAACGCTTTCTCTAACAAATTTTAATTGGATTTGTTCTATAATAATGAAGCTTTAATCCCATTAGTTTTTCCCTGGATTCAGTGATGAGAAAAAAAATCCAACTGAAGAAATGGGACACATCATCCCCAAAAATGTTCACAACAAAATTACTGCAGAATAAATATTTTAAAATATCAACATCAATCAAAATTGCAGAAAAACCGAATATTAAAGTTGCCTAATTTTCCACAGAAATCAGTGCAAAAAACAGCTGTAAATTCCCCCAGAATTCCTCGAAGAAATTCCACAAAACTATTGTTCTTTCGTCAAATAATTAACTACATTTAAATATAACTGAATAAATTAAACATGAGCATGAACTGATTTCGAGGCTAAGGAAGATGGCACTTGAGGTCTCAATCGACCCAGTTCACATGCCCTGTTTATAACAAAAAATACCCATTCCCCGAGGTAAATGGCACTGAACCAGCCCCCCAGAGGTATAACCAATACCTCACTGCGAGCCCCGAAGTGTCCTTAAACCCCCCAACTACCCCCAAATCCCCATCAACCATCAAGAATGGGTTTTGGATGTCACAACGATTAATTAAGAATAACTACAGGCCTATTTCATCACGTCGTGACGTCAGGGAAAAGGGCCCCAAGTAAACCCCCGCAACGATACATTTCCCAAGAGCAGTAATCACTTTCCCTAAAATTACCTGAAGAACCAGTCCCTAATTGACTGAAATTTACCAAAATATCGGAGTAACCGAGTGAAATTGAATAACACTGACCACTGAATATTAACAGAACCAAAAAAATGAATGTTTTATCAGTAAACTGACGCACCGAGGACTACAATCACGGAACTGCCCTGAGATCGCAGATCCCAGTCCCTCTTTCACCGACCGATGCTATGATTCAACCGATGACAAACAGGTGCCGCTAGAATGACATTCCCCTGGCTTTTTTCACGCGAAAACCTGCGAAAACCTTAAATTACCCCTTTAACAAACATTCGCGCAGAACTCGACGTTTTTTCCTCGCTACGAGGTGTTCTCCCCCCAACTGGCCAATTTTTTTCTCATCCTGACGACTGATAGGCCTTATCTACTTGAAATTTTGCACTTTCTCCACCGAAAAAAAACAAAACAAAGGGAATTTGACAGTTGAACCGCACGTGCTGCCTTCATCCTACGAAAAGATGATGTAATAGTCACCTGAATGGCAATTAGGAGTGCACGATGTGCGATGAGTCGAGGGGGTTTGACTGGTCTTTTGTTGAACGAAAACACAACGCAGTCTGACAGAAATCAGCTGTTGAACGGGACAAAGCGCACGGACTGAGTGACTCCAGCCGTTTTGCTGCGGTCACGGATCAACTGGCTCGAGTGATCCGATATCTTTTGTTTTGTCCTTTGCGAAACGAGGTTTACAAATATTATTTTTGGGCTAAAACCACGGGAGGAGCGAAGTTATAGCAGTGGGACACGAGTATTTCCAGGAATTTTGTTGGGTTATGTTGGAAGATGAGGAGATTATGGCGATTGAGTTTCTTCTTTGGCCGACGAGAAGTGCAGGCTGAGGGGCGATGGGCGCGGGGCGGTGGAGTGGAGTCACTTACCCGGGAGTGAGTGCAGAAATCCCGAGGAGTTGGTTGATTGGTACTGAGTAAATCGTAAATTGGGGAATGCTCGGGGGACGACGCACAATTGCAGGCAACGACTGCGGTGACGGAGTGGCACGAAGTTGAGCGACTATTGCCGAGGGGCGATCGGAACATGCGTGAATGTCAACAACACTTGGGAGTTCAGTCGGATGGTAGAGCGACTACCCCTGTGAATTTATTAACCTCTTGTTTGATTTGAAATTGGAGGTGAGCGAAAATTCTTGATTCAGATTGGAAATTGGGATTGTGGTGGAATTTTTAATTGATAATCGTGAGAAAATGCGATAGTTTCGGTTGAAATTGAATTGAAAATTTTATTTGCAAGGGTAGATCCACTACCCCTGTGAATTTATTAACCTCTTGTTTGATTTGAAATTGGAGGTGAGCGAAAATTCTTGATTCAGATTGGAAATTGGGATTGTGGTGGAATTTTTAATTGATAATCGTGAGAAAATGCGATAGTTTCGGTTGAAATTGAATTGAAAATTTTATTTGCAAGGGTAGATCCACTACCCCTGTGAATTTATTAACCTCTTGTTTGATTTGAAATTGGAGGTGAGCGAAAATTCTTGATTAAGATTGGAAATTGCGATTGTGGTGGAATTTTTAATTGATAATCGTGAGACAGTGCGATAGTTTCGGTTGAAATTGAATTGAAAATTTTATTTGCAAGGGTAGATAGACTCCCCCTGTGAATTTATTAACCTCATGTTTGATTTGAAATTGGAGATGAGCGAAAATTCTTGATTAAGATTGGAAATTGCAAATGTGGTGGAATTTTTAATTGATAATCGTGAGAAAATGCGATAGTTTCGGTTGAAATTGAATTGAAAATTTTATTTGCAAGGGTAGATAGACTACCCCTGTGAATTTATTAACCTCTTATTTAATTTGAAACTGGATGTGGGCGAAAATTCTTGATTAAGATTGGAAATTGCGATTGTGGTGGAATTTTTAATTGATAATCGTGAGACAATGCGATAGTTTCGGTTGAAATTGAATTGAAAATTTTATTTGCAAGGGTAGATAGACTACCCCTGTGAATTTATTAACCTCATGTTTGATTGGAAACGGGAGCTCGGCGAAAATTCTTAATTACGATTATATTTGTTGATATTTCGATAAATTTTTTAATTGATAAATTATTGTGAGAAAATCAAATAATTTAAATTGAAATTGTATTTAACATTCCATTTGCTTTTATTCAGGGAGGGTTAATTGAAATATTCACTGGAAAATATTTTTTAGGTGAAACATTTTCTCGGAATTTTTATCAAGTGACATTTCTAGTGAAATTTCAAAATTCCATTTTCGTCATTGAAAATTCACTTAAAATTTGGAGTCATAGACAAGTTTCTGTTGATATTCTAATAATACTAATAATACAAATAATAATAATAATAATAATAATAATAATAATGATAATTTATTCCGTAAGTACATGAATTTCTCCTTTATTTCTTCTTCTGATCGATATTGTTATATCCTCCAACTCTTGAAGAGGCAAGCGCCATCATTTTTTTTATTCCCAGTTTCAGTTGACAACATACATTATTCCTCACAGTGGTAGAACAAAAAAATAATAATAATCACACACATTAGAATTACAATATTTTTCTGAACTGAAGGTCCTGCAATTGTCCGGTGAGAATTTCCACTATTCTGGATATTCTATTGAAAATTGTAATTCTTTTCGTCCGATTGAATTGAAAAATTGGAGTTCATCTTTAAAAATAGTAATGGTTCAATTCTCCAATAAATTATATTGCAGAATATTCCAGAATTCCAATGAGTTTTTATAAATGACGATAACACTCGCATGAATAGATGCATAATTGAATAAGTTGGGAGGAAAATATGAGTTTACCCACATTGAATGATTACGTGATTCTCGAGAAAATTGGGACTGGAAGCTATGCCACTGTTCACAGGGCAGTTAAAAAGGTAAGTTTGAAAGTAATTCAAAAGGAGAGACGTACGAGAAATTTCATAGAAACATCTAGTGAATTCACTGGAAAATTGTATTCTGTAATTCTATTGAATTTTTTATTCGTTTTCGGCCGATTCTTCTGAAAAATTCCGCAGGCGATCTGTCTTTTTTTTATGGAAATGCTCAATGGAGAAAATTCTATAGAAAAAATGAATAGTATTAGATTTTCTTATACAATTTATTTTATTCAGGTATTTTCTATACAAATTCCTCGGCTCAAATTTTCTATATTTTTTGCTTGATTTCGTTAATGAAAACAGAAAAAAATAAGTGGAGGAAAAAATATAGAAAATTTATTTCGAGGAATTCCTGTAGAAAATTTATGAATAGAAAAAGTTATATAGAAAGATGAAAATCCTTTGATTTTTTCTACAAAATAGTCTCTATTGGACAGTGTTTATAAACGATGCGTAATAAAGCTGTGGTATTCTCCAATAGAATTCACCAAAACTAACGAAACTTTCCATCAGTTTTCGTCCGATTCTGTTGAAAAATTCCGCAGTTTACACGCGTTTTTTCGAAGATAAATGTTCGAGGAGAACTATTCAATAGAAAAAATCAATAGAATTCGATTTTTGGACAAAACTTATTCTATTATTATATTTCCTATAGAAATTCTTCGACTCAAATTTTCTACATTTTTTTGTTTGATTCCATCAATAAAAAAAAATAATAAAGTGAAGGAAAAAATTTAGATAATTTATGTCGAGGAATTCCTATAGAAAGATGAAATTCTGTTGATTTTTTCTATAAAAAAATAGTTTCTATTGGACATTCTCTGTAAAAAATGCGCAGTAGAGTTGCGGAATTCTCCGAAAGAATCTTCCCAAAATAATCTAATAAAATTTGCAATAGAAGTTTCATCAAAATCCAATAGAATGTTTCACAGCATTCGCCATTTTTTTCTAGGAAATTTTTCGTGCATGAAAGGTCATTATTGATGTGTTGACATTCGCAGGGAGGCAATCGCGAGGTGGTCGCGATCAAATGTGTAGATAGCACGACCCTTTCAAAATCAGCGATCGATAATCTTCTGACGGAGATAAACTTGCTGAAGATTTTGAAACACGAGAATATCGTGAGCATGAAAGACTTTTTCTGGCATGAAGGGTTAGTCAATAGACAAAATTAAATAGTCTGGGAGACGGTGAGGGAAAATGAAATTTCAATCATCGATATTTTTTCTCCTGGGGAAATGAACGAGTGAAATTCCATTCCAAAGTTTATAAAAATTCCCTGAAGATGAAATCACAGTAAAAAAGTTCGATTTCACCTCAATGAAATGAACGAATCCAATTTCATTTTAAAGTTTATAAAAACGCTGAAAACGCTGAAAAAATGTTGAATTTAATTTTCTTTATCTCGAGTTTTTGAGGATTGAAAACGTTCCATTTTACCCCCGTCTTCTCTCAATGTATGTAATATAATGTTTGTTCATTCAATCTTCTTCTCCACTCAGTCGTATCTATATTGTAATGGAGTACTGCGACGGTGGTGATTTATCAAGCTTTATTAAGCGAAAAAGTCAATTACCAGAAACAGTTTGCCGCAAATTTCTCCAACAGCTCGCCCTCGCATTGAGATATCTACGATCTCATAACGTCTGTCATATGGACTTGAAACCACAAAATTTGTTATTGACCAGGAAACCCGTCTTGACGTTAAAAGTCGGAGGTTCGTAATGGTGGGCTATGCGAGGGGGTAGTCACTCGCACTGATAGAATGATTCATTTATTCCAAACGAGAGTCGTTACTTATTAACGAATGGTAGAGTTGAATCTGAACAAATAAATATTCGCTAATAGTTAATGAATGAGCATTTAGTGAGACCGAACAGACCCTAGCCTCCAACCAAATCCATTTTTTAACAATAACGCCTAAGAAAACCGCCCAGTGGAGGGAAGTTTGTTGTTATTCAAGAATCAACAAGAATTCTCTCAGAACTTCATGCAATTCTATTAATTTGATATGGAACACCCAATTCATGAGTGATTACCCTCTCATCATCCCTTCCAATGCCGTGCACGGAGAGAAACATTCAATACAAATTATCAGGAAAAACGTAAAAATTACGTTTCGAAACGTAATCCGCGAGCGAAGTAAAATCCTAAGTGGTAATTTTTTTTTCACGTCATATATATCTATATATATATATAATATATATATTTCACATGTATATATATCATCGGTGAAATTAATAAATTCGGTCCTTTTATGGAGACCGATTATTTAAAAAAATTGAAGATAATTAATTGAAAATGAAATTTTTTTTATAGATTCTTTTACTCTACTTCGCTATTCACTTCAATCATTAGTCGAATTCTCTTTGAATCATTATCAATATTTATAAGGTATTCATGAGAAAATAAAATTCAATAAATTCCATTTCTTCATTTCAACAAATGAATAGATCAGCGCGCGCGAGAGCGCAAGCCTAGATCTTGTTCAATAAAAAGTGTGAGTCGGAACTGAAATTGTACGAATCGCCACGTAAATTCTACGATTTGTTCCGCAAAAATTAACCACACGTCTGATGACTCACCGCTGTGGGGACAACAAGTCGTTCCGTAATTTTTCCCCAACGATTGACAAATTTTACGGAATGAAACGGAGAAATAACTCACCACCTTCATAAAAATTGTTGAACGTTCAAGAATTTTTGATTCTGGAGGCATAATAAGTCGGCAAGTTTCTGTGAGTTTTTACTTTTTCGGGAAAAATTACGTGACAAATTCGTACTTTGTTCGGTGATGAACCTGAAAATTCACTGAACGTTTCAGATTTCTTCTCTTCCATTCCTATAAAAATTGCCGGAAAACGATTCCCCATTGCGGATTACGTGAATTGCTCCGTAATTTTTACTGAATATTTCTCTCCGTGTGACACGATGAACAAATAATAATAGAAAAAAACTTGTGCAGATTTCGGTTTCGCTCAATATCTGTCCACCTCAGAATCGAAATTCGCGATACGCGGATCTCCGCTCTACATGGCACCGGAGATACTTCTGCGTCATGAATACGATGCACGCGTGGATCTTTGGAGCGTGGGGGTGATAATGTATGAGTGTCTCTTCGGAAAAGCTCCATATTCCAGCAGCAGCCTCGAAGAGCTAGCTGAGAAAATCAAAAGTTGTAAACCAATTGAGGTATTCCTCGGAAATTAGACAACTGGGTTTTTGTATGAATTTTTTTGTCGCCGTATGTGACAGTTGAATTGAAAATACCAAACACGGTACTTTTCATGCCGTTCAATGATAAGAAATTAATGGATCATGGACGTCTGTGTGATGACGTAATGCCGGAATAATAATGAATGGGTTTTTAAATATTTTATGCTATGATTGGGGCTTCGACAAATAAATAATAAATTACAGAATGGAGAATAATGCAGCTGTTTTTTTATGGAAACGCATATGAAGAAATTCAGTGGAAAAACCTCGCGCGTTGTGTAAGCTATTCTATTGGATTTCTGTTGGAACTCTATAAGAATTCTCTTAAAGTTTTATTGAAATTTTATTTTAAAATTCTATTTGTTTTTTACCCCGTTTTTATGGGAAATTATGCAAATTTACCGCGTCAATTTGTTGACCGATATTTGATAGAAAAAAGTCAGCAAATTTTGATTTGGTTCTCGACCCAAAGTTTTGTAAAGGTAAATAACTTGTTTTATAAGGGATTAATCGAATTTCATGTATTTTTTCATGAATATAGAATTTAATAAGCTCTATTCATTGACACCAATTAAAATTCAATTTTTCATACAGATTCGAAAAAATTGATATTTTTCCAAAAATCGATTTTTCAACGATCACTCAAAAAATTGTTATCAAAATTGAATTAGTCATGGCTCAAAAAATTGGTAAAATGCCCTCTTGAATCTATCAGAATATGATGGGACGTACCATTCGTTGTTGAGTTACAGCACATTGTTCATGCGATTTGAAAGAGAAAATCGGTTTTTTCATGATTACTGAAAGAATCATCAGTAATATCAATTAAATCAGGGCTTGAAAAGTATATTTCAATGCCTTCTTAATCAAGTTGAAAAATGGTGAGAACAGCATCATTGCTTATAAAGTTAACACAATACCGTCATCAACTTTTTATATCAAAATCTATATCTCTATTAAACTCAGGTACCAGTCTAGTATGTTGAATACTTATTCATATTGATTCATGGTCCCGACTAACTTCTGATTAAACCTCGATTGAACCTTGATTAAACCCGGACTGAAAACGAATTTGAGTCTTGGGAGGGTCTGAATGTAGAATTATCTGATAGAACAAAATAATACGCAAAATTGTGATGACATTTCAATTGATGATAGTACTATGACATGGAAAAATAGAAGAAGAAAATAGTGAAATAAGAATTAAAAAAGAGAACCCGTTCGGAAGCCAATCCATTCGGTTGCTAATTGATTCGCAACAATATTCCTTTGTAAAAAAAAATGCAATTGTCCATTTGTTTATCATTTGGCCACTTCAAAATTTTTCATCTTCTTCAAATCAGCTAAAGACCGCAGAGGCCAAGACCTTCTAAAGAACAGAGTTCTAATCGAATTTCGATAGAATTCTCATAGAGTTCCAATAGAAATTCAACAGAATCTCTCAGATAAAACGCTACATTTTTCTATAAAATTTTGTCATACGTCAAGACCCGTATCTGGTATTTTCAATCGAGTTTTCTCATCCTTCAGAGCAATTTAATCAGCAAAAAAATTCATTCAACTTCATTCTCTCTTCATTTAGAACAAATGATTTCCTCTTTGTTAAATTTCTAGATCCCCAAGGGTTGCTATGTATCCCCCGAATGTAAAAATCTACTCATGTCTCTACTGAAACATGACCCAAACGAAAGACTGAGTTTCGACGATTTTTTTGCCCACGAATTTTTGGATCTTGCCTACGCACCCATTGAGGAGAATAACGAAAAAGCTATAACTTTGATCCAAAGTGCCGTAAAAGCCGACACCGAAGGGAACATCCAAGAGGCCTTTCATCTCTACTGCGAAGCCTTGAGATACTTTATCCCCCAACTAACAAGTAATTACTTACTCCTTTCAGTCAGCGCATTGAAATTCTACTGATGAATGCTGATTTCTTCAGATGAAGCAGATCACAACAAAAAAAAGCATTTGAGAATGCGCGTTAACGAGTACATAAATCGGGCCGAAAAGCTCAAGCTCATGTGCATGGAAAGCTCCAGCCTCACTGAGTCGAATTCTCAAAATAATGATAAGTTGCGACAGTTGTGTAGTACCGGGAGGAGAGGAATACTTCAGAGCACTTCATTGCCTTATCAAGAATTACGTACGTATAAAAAACGGTAGAACGGTTACCGGTCAAAATAACACACGTAAATTTCAACACACAGATTAACACATGCATTTTCAACATTTGATCATTTACATACGCAAATTTAACACGTGTATATGTGTGTGTGTGTTTTTAAAATTTGGTTTCACCTCAATAATCCCTAAAAATCCGCAGTAAGGATGTGGAATTCTTCGATAGAATCGACCAAAAATTCGTAAAATTTCCAATAAGCCTGTAGCGCATCTATCTATGTGCAGGTTTTCTTAAATATTATTTATTTAAAGTATTGGAACCCGCAATGTGGAATCGACTCCGAAAATTTAAGTGACGGTATCGTAATTTTTCCCAGGAGATTCAGGTTAAAATTACGGAACGCTCTGGAAAAATTCCGTGACAGTTCCGTAAAATTTCCTACAACCACATTTCGCTCCGGAATTACGGAAAAGATACGTCATTTTTATTGAATATTTCTCTCCGTGCATTACAATTTTTTAAATATTTACATATTTCTTCTATGTATTTGTAGTCATTTGTATCTGTGAATTTTTTCGAGATGTAAGGCCGTGAGCAGTTGGTTTTTGCTAATTTATTTAGTAGTTCTGATCGTTGCTGAGTGTACGTTGGACAATGCCATAGGACATGTTCAAAATCTTCTTTAATTATTATGTGTAGGTTATTGCTTTGAATGATGTGGACGTACACGATCTCATCACCTCAGTTTCGCCCTCCAACCCAAACAGGTGGCGCTGATCGGCGTATCTGTACCATCTGTACACGTCTATGCATGTGCATTCTTGGTTGTGTGAGATGCGTTACAGGCGTATACAAGTTCAATACAAATTCAACAGAATTTTCTATCGAAGTCGCTATCTTTTTCGGCGAAAAATTCCGCAACTTTTTTGCGCATTTATTTTTAACAGAAATATTTATAAAAAATATTCTATAGAAATAATCAAGAGAAATCGATTTTTCTGTACAACTTGTATAAAGAAATACTAACGATATATCGAGGAATAATGAATAAATTAAATTAATAAATTGCACCACCCCCAGGCATTTTGAGTAAAAGCACAACAGACATGGCGTCGGCCCTAGAAATGGGTGAAGTGGGTGAGCAATATCTCGCCGAAAGAAATTACGATTTAGCCCTAGAAAAGCTCAAGGCCTGTTTAGGAATGCTCGTACCCCTGATCAATAAAGAGCCCCCTGGAAGACGGAGAGAGCTTCTCAATCAACAGGTAACCGGCGCATCCCACCCTCCACCATCCACCCCGCCATTTCCCTTGAATACTGAAACCCATCTGATATTCCCCAGATACAAATATGGATGAAGCAAGCGGAGAGTACAAAAGGCCTGTTGGCAACCAAAGCAGTGAATGATTCTCCAAGAGAATCCAAGCACCCTCAGGATCAGTGTCTACTTCAGTAACTAGTACTAAAAAATTAACGGATGTGAATAAATTGTTCAATTATGGAAAAACCATCGCCTTAAAATTCAACGTATGATTTACTTTTGTAACATAAAACGAAATAAATGAAATGTTTTCTAAAAAAAAAGCATGGGCAATATGTCGGATCGAAAATGAGAACTCGAACATGGCGGATATCTCGAACGAATGGGGAAAATAAGGCGGTTTTCATGAGTGCAATCGTCTTGCGTCGAATTTTCATAAAGCTCGCCTGACAAACAAAAGAGAATGGAATACCATTCTATGAAACATGAATAAACGAATTATAATTGCCCAAATCATTTACGCCAGAGGAAAATAGAATAATTCTATTATTACGTTCTTAATATTGCGTTTACTAAGGTTTTCTTCGAACAAAGTTGATTAGAATTAATAGCTAGGATTATGAGATTATCTCACATTTTTTACGTTAAGGATAGAAGAATCCGAATGTAATATAGTGAAAATGATGATCGATTTTTTCACTTTGAACAAATAATATTAATATCCAAATACAAAATTTCTGATATAAATAAAAAGAAGCGACTCAAAATTCCAAATTAAGTTCTAATTTTTAATTTGATGCTGAAAACATGAGATGACAATATTCTAAGCACGGAATTATATTGATGAGATGAACAACAGATTAATTGAATTACCGTGTGAACTAACTAAAAATTGATAACAGTGTGGGCAGGCAGTTTTACCAGAATATCAACAAACACTGAATTCCAGAAATTCACACTCTAAAGTGTGTTTAGAAGGAATTGAATTGTAATTCAGATTAATATCTTATTCATTTCACATAGAAACTAGAGCACGAGAAAATCATCTAAAAACCGTAATTCATGTTGCTTCTTCTAATGAGAATGATTACACACAATCATCGAAAAAAATCGCATCGAATCTGCCAGCAAGAGCGGCATAATGAAATCGCCTCACCGATCGAAAGCTCCCAGATCCCCATGTTGGCGCCATAATTGGGACTTCCGGTAGAAACTACCGGATCAGCATCTGAAATGTCGTCTTTCGTCATGGAAAATTCCCATTTCCCATCGCCATTCCCCCCTCTCCACCCCCTCCCGCCATAAAATCGTCATTCTCCCCCTCCAAAAGCTTTCTGCATGAAACTGAACCCCCCCTCCACCAACCAGAATCGTGATAAAATTCTCCTCAACCCCCACTCCCACCGCTCCAGTACATAAATTCATTTGATAGTGTACACCGGAAGTGCGGCAACGTCGCAATGGTCGAGTACATAAGGCCACGTAGATGTGGATTTCTCCGTCCATCTGACTGGCTGAGAGGAATAATGGAGAGGGGATAAAGGGAATACATGGAAACACGGCAACACTGCCAACACTGCCTGCATTCAAATGTACACGCGAAATGGACATCGCGTACATGCTGCATGTAGTCACCAGCATACACCCCGAGGATTCATAACTCTTAAGTTATTGTTAAACTCGCCGAAAAATAAAAACCAGTGAAAAACATTCGATCATCCCTCGTTTGTCCCCTCGCCGAGTTGAAAATCGGGACAATCGGTGGGAAAAAAAAATTTTTTCTGCCGCGCGCACCCGCGCACGAGCTTCACTTCCCCCACCACTCCCTTATATACCTAGACGCTGAGTGGACACGCATGAAAAACACGAGTATGTCATTTAGTGTGTGTATACCGGTGTTTGCGCGCTGTTGTTGCACTCGCTGTTGCGTGCGCTATTGTTATTATACCGTACTGCAATTTTTTTAATTTCGTTAATTAATTTATTCTCGGTGGAACAATCACTTCTCCCTTGTTTCTTATTTTTGGACGATAATAAAACATTGGGAGTAAATGTCGCACGGGTGCAATTGTGTGCCGGCAAGTGTGTGGTTAGATTTTAATAATGTGTATGGATGTACAATCTAACAACATGGGAGATAGGAGTCTCGATGATGATGTGCAGATTGTCAGGTGTAATGTTGAGAAAAGTAAGTTTTAGTTCTTTTGTCGCTTCATTTATTTTTGAGGTTAGGTGTGTGCGTCATGTGCGCGCGGTTTATTATCATCGGTTATTTGGGGGTTTTTATAGNGGGGGGGGGGGGGGGGGGGGGGGTGAGATACATCAACGGGATCCATCGGGGATTTGAAACTCTCGGTCTCACATTCAATTACTGACTGGAAAGTTCAGGCGGTTGTCAAGTTTTTTTATGGGAGGTTTAATTTTCATTTTCTCGGAGGTTCTGGGGAGTAAATGAATGGGGTTTTCGGGGCCTCCGCGAAACGCTGATCAGCTGGTGTTATTCTTTATTTAAAGGATCTTGCAAAACGGCTCACGCCAATTTTGACTATTAGCCAGTTTTCAGTGAATATCTGGAAATCTAGGGGGATGACAAAATTTTTCTCATAAACATTTTTGTAGAGCCAATTGAGAGCTTGACTAAATTTAACTACGAGAATTTCGTTATCTCCCTTAGATTCGGCAATATTCGTCAAAAATTGAACAATTTTACCACTTCGCTAAGGATTTTTATTCGAATAGTTGCGAATGAGTAAAATTTAGGAGCTGTTTGTCTTTTTTTTTTCTCTCGGGGGGTGAGTCATCGGGATTATTGTAGTTTTTGGTATAAGAACCTGTCTTTTGTTTTGATTCGCTTTTCACTTTTTTTCCTGCTGGCCTCAGAATTGGCACAAAAATTTCTTTCAATTGTGAAAGTAGTGAAAAGAGGTACATGATAGGCTGTAATAATTTTAAAAATATGGGTGTTATTTATAGTTGATACGGGATTTTTTCGCTCACATGTGTATTCCCTGCTTCCCTTCAATGTTGAAAAAAGTGAATTTAAGTGCATTTGTTGTTTCATTTATTTTCGAGGTTAGGAATGTCCGTAATGTGCGCGCGGTTTATAATCATCGGGTATTTGCGGGGAGGTACACGAGGTACATTAACGCGGATCCATCGGAGATTTGGAACTCTCGATGTCGTATTCAATTAGTGGCTGGAGAGTTCAGGCGTTTTCCAAGTTTTTTTATGGGAGTTTTAATTGCCATTCTCAGTAATAATATTCTCAGTAATAAATAAATAGGATTTTCGATGCCTCCGCAAGACGCTGATCCTTTACTTCAACAACACTTAGAAAATTAGTCTTGAAATTTCAAGTGAGAAAGCTTGAAATGTTTAACAACCACAAAGTTAGGGGAGGGCGGGGTAAAATGGATACTTGACTTGTTTTAAAATATTAGTGACGGGTTGAGTTGTTGATGAAATTGAATATTTTTTTGTTAAGGAAAAGAACAACTCTTTCCCTTTGTGATGAGCCTAAACTGATCTCAATTCATAAATCAGTTTCTGAGTTATAAATATTTTTTAAAACGTCAAAAGTTTCCATTTTACCCCGCCCTCCCCTACATGAAGTTTCGGTAGATTTCTTCAATGACGAATCAGATAATTTCTTGAATTTCCAAATAATTCTCGATTTTCAGGTCCATACGGCAAAACTCTTGAAAATTTTGATAATTCAGGCAATAAGTTCCCCTGAATTTTCAATCCATTGAAAATTGAATTGTATTTGATGTTCAATTTTCACGATGAGTTTAGAAATTCAAGCTTTCATTGAAAAATCAATGATTTTGAACATGAAAAACCCATTTTCTTGAATTTTCAAGACGAATGAGAAATTTAGTAACCGTTTTCATTTGAAATTGAATTCAAACTCACAACATTGAAAATTCAGATAGCACTGCGACTAAAATTTCAAGAACAGTGAATCTCGCATTTTCTTCGTGAGGGATGTCACCGCAAATTCACCATTTTATTTCCACTCTTCGAATAGCTGCGAGTGAATAAATTTTAGGAGCTGTTGCAAAAATCTAATAACAATTTTTGTTGTCTAACCAAGTAATTAAAAAAAAACTGTCTTTATTTACAACAATATTTACATATTTTGAAAAACTAGTATCAAAAAAGGTTCTACAAACACTATTTTATACAATATGTAAACTTTGGCCAGGAGTGACTCTCGAGTTTATTGAATTTTCTAGAATTTTCTTTGATGTTTTAACCAATAATATATTTTCATAGTTGATTGATGCGTCAATTCTTGCCATCAGAATCAATGGGTTTTTAGGTGCCTAAAAAACCTTTTTTTTTTTCAATTTGCGTAGATGTGGAAAAAACGCAAAACAATATTCGCAGGAGGGAATAGAAAAAAACAAGAATGTAATTATTTTTAATTACACCATGTGAAACATTAAATTATGAATCTGATGGCAATCGGTCGGCCTAAGCGATCTTCAGCAATTTTATAGAAGTATAAATGAAGTTGAAGAATTCTTCGCGACGGCCCAACGTTTCTTCCTCCGCTTCTTTATTACTCCAATGTTCTAAATAATTACAAATCAAACAAATTAAAATGTCAAAACATTGCCACCTTATATTAAATCAGATAGCAGATTGTCCTCAGATTTTTAAGATAATTACAACGGTAAAAAAAAATTCAATTTGAGGAGCTGTTCACGATTTTTTTCTCTCGGATATAAAATCATCGAAATTATTGTGGTTTTTCGTACGAAGAACTCTGGTTTGTCTCTTGTTTTGATTCTCTCTCCACTTTTCCCCCGCTGGCTCAAGAATTTTAATTTCGGCTTCAGAATTGCCGCAAAAAAAAATCCCCAGCTGTGAAAGTAGTGAAAGGATAAGCTCTACCAATAAAAAACCAGAGTATTCGTTTGCAATATAACATGTCTATTATTCCCCCGAACACGAAAAAATTTCTCTCTCCTACCTAATTAAAAATAAGAAATTAACACGGTGTGACACTGAGTATTCGCCTAATGCTATTCGCTCACGTGCGTATTCCTTCCTTCCCTCTAACCTCCACATCTCCGCTAGTCCGCTCCACGATCCCGGGAGTGTGTATATATACCCGTCCAATGGATGGAAGAGCCGAGCGTGGGCACTGGCTATGTGCCTATAACCCCGAGCCACTACATAATGTACTCCTATATACAAAATGTAGCCATAAGTGATGTAACAATAAACCCGACCATCGCCGATGCGAACCGAGTGCTCACGAAGTCACCGATAGTTCCCTCGTTTT